TTTTAAATCAATAGCGGATTGCATTAAAAAATCGAGATGACATTTTAAATTCCATTGAATATGTACTAATTCTTTTATTAAAGAACGTTCTCAATTTATCGCATTTCACATTCAATCCCGTTGCATTAGATGTAATATTTCATTCATATTTTATATAAATAATGGATAAATAATGCATTCAAAAGAAGGCATGGATAATTTTCAAATGAAATTTATCATATATATATATATAAAATGTTTTTATTAAATTTGTCCAATAATATATATGATTTTTGATGTTTTGTAAAAATGGCAATTAACAATCAAGTTGAAAATGTTATAAAAATCTTTTATCTTTTCTACCTATTTAATTTAATATTTTACTAATAAATAAAATTTTATTTATTATTATAATATTATTTCTTGTCCTGAAAACAAAATAAAATATTTAGATATTTTTATTTTATTTTTTGTGTTAATAAAAATAAAAGTTAGATGTTAGAATACAAAAGAAGAAAATAAATAAATTAAAAAAAAATTTTTAAATTTCAATTACATTCAAGTATTTATATTATCATTTAAATTAAAGTGCTACTTTAAAGTACTACCTTTGTTCTTTATTACGAATATATTATAATTATTCAACATTATTTATTTGTTCGTAAAAAAAAAAAAAACTAATTCATCTCATGTAACTTAAACTATTTCAATTTAACAATTGTTCACAAAACGATGATTAAAATTCTTCGACGTACGTTTCAACGAAAACTGGGAACCATTTTTACATGCATTTGCACAGATATTTGTAATGTGGCTCCGAAATGAAATTGCATCAAAAGCCATCAGAATTTCTGTGGCTCGAGTTGGCCTTCTTCAGAGGAAATGGTTATAATTTAACTTTTCTAAAAATTGCATGGGAACATGAGCTTATCAGAGATTTTTTCCCTAAATTACATTAAAAATATCTTAATATCTTAATATCTTAATTGAATAAAATTTATATTACACTCTCGTTCATACTTGATTTTACGTTATTCCCCTTTAATGATAAAATAGATGAAAAATAGATTGAAAAATAAAATTTTCGTTATTTTTCCTTCCTATATTTACAAAATTTTTCAATACGTTTCAGAGATTCTATGCTAAATTTATTCTAAACCGTTTTTTATTGTTGAATCCTAAACCACTCAGTCCATTTTATTTTTCGTCAAATAAGACTCTCAAACAAAATGCGAATTCCACCAATGGAAAAGCAATACAATATTATTAAAAAAAAAAAAACGGATTTAAAATAAAAATAAAAAATAAAAATTTCGCAAAATATTTCACAAAAGCCCTCTAAACGATTTCCTCGTTTCAGCAGCAACATTTTTAAGAGTTTCTCTGAAACGTCCAATGAGGATGACAAAAATAAAAAGTGTATTCACCTTTTAAAATGTTCGAATTGACAAACGAAAAACGAGATTGCGCCCATCCTTTGGTAAATTCGATAAACAAGTGACAACAGGCTATTTCATTTTATCGGCAATTTCCTGTTGCATTCGATTCCAACAACCCTGTTCGCAAATCATGGTGTCGCGTTCGAGCTGTCGTTATTACTTCTTATCAAGCGGATGTGTTAATGTAAACGTGGCCAACCGTGAAAACTGATGGCCGGTGAACGCTCTGGACCAAGCATAAATTCGAAATGACGTTAATTTTACCGTCTGATGCCGCGTCGCGATTATTTCATGACGTAATAACACGCTGTAACCATTGTTCCTGAATCAATTTAACCGTGTGAAAGAACGTCTCTTTCTATTCTCGTTCACAAATTGATTAAACAGACTTGAGATTTGAATAATTTGATCCGATTATTAATCCAATATCGATAATGAAAGGGAGAATCGTTTGTTAATCGTCAATGATCTCAATTTCTGCAAGCAATCTTTATATTGTTTATTCTTTTTCTTCTTTTTTTTTTCGATACTAGTTTCGATACTAGTTTTATTTCGTTTGTATTCATTATGTAATTATTAAGTATTAATTTTTATAGTGAAGACAGATTCGTTCTTTTACAATTAACTAAGTAAACGTTTATACATCTTTATTCTAAATTCTTTTCTTTTCAGGAAAATCTTGAAAAGTTAATGGAAACTTTAATCTTAATTCTTAGAAGCTATAATTAAGCACAGTAATTAAAACATGAAGATAATTACATTTTAAGATATACAAAAATATTTTTATGCAAATAATGTCCGTCCTATATTTCTCCCTCTTTTTTTTTTTTACATCATCGTTTACCAAACCATTAATACTTAATTACACGAATTATTCGTATAATTTTAAAATAATAAAATAATTCGCGTAGAAATTCTCATTTCAATAATTTCCCCTCGAATAAACGAATCCTCGAACAAATCGCGCAATCATCGATCCATCCTTCAAACTTTTGAACACGCGATCCTATATCTCACCACGATTATTTACTCGTTAATTAAGTAATTCACGTCAACGTTATTCTCCCGAAAAATGTTCATACACCATGTCACACGACGAGTCATGACGGACATTATCGCTATATATTCTCGTAAATACGAAACCAGTTTTCCAGCTGGGCTGTCCAATAATTATTTCGCGGTACGCGAATCCTCTACGAAATCGGTTATAATCGGTCGATAGGCGTGATACGAATCCATCCCCCCATCCCTCGAATTAATTACGACTGAAACGGGGTCGCGCTCGTCTCGCTTTTCGTCATATTTTGATTGAAGATTTCACGATCGCGCGCCATCGCCTCTTCTCTCGGCTTGACTGACGTTGACAAATTAAATAAATCGGCGATCGTATTGAAGCGTCACTCGCACGCGTCTTTGTTTCATCGGATTCCTTCTTTTTTTGCCCCTCTCCTCTCTCCCTTCTCGGTTAATTAGAGCAAGTGACGGGTGCGTTCGTTTTATTAAATCACTTTTATCGAGGAGGAAAAGGTTTCTTCTTTTATTTCACGGCGCGGTTTTGGATCTAGCGTTACGGGATCTGGGATTTGATTTTTCTTTTCTTTCTTTCTTTCTTTTATTCGTTTTTCTCGATCGAGATTGGAAGAGAATTGTCAGAGAGATTTGATGAGAAATGATCGAGAGTGATTAAATAATATTTTGGAAAATTGGAGAAAGATCGACTCGATTATTTATTATTTGTAAAAGATAATTTGGATAATTTTTTTAATGATTAATTAGAGAGGAATTTAAAAAAAAAAGTACTTAGTGAGAGATCAATCGGTTTCAATAATTCGTCAAATGTATCGAGTTAATTATTGCGCATACTTGAACGATGTTTCATTTTTAACGGTCTGTGCAAATCATTGATACCCATAAAATGCGTCAAGCCAATAATTTGCGCTTTGCATAAAATAATGCAAATATATGTATTTGGATAAATCACAACATAATGGAAGTTTAGTATCGTGATGCATTTAGTTGCACGTAATGTAATTAACAATCACGTATCAATAAATTCTGATTACAAAATATGTGTACAACTTTTTAAAAAAAATTCTATTTTTTAATCGATGAAATTCACAAACTTCTTTCTCAAAAATTTATTATATAATTATCGAAAATATATAAATAAAAAAAAGATCATTTCCAAACAAGTATCAATTGATTTTTCGGATTATGATACGATTCAATCAAGATCAACATCATACAGAAAATCGAAACTTGGAGGATCGAGATGATTCTACTTCGTTCCCTCATCCCACCTGTGCATATACGCACATCGATAGAGGCATTATTCCTGGAGAATGGTTGTGCTTGTGCCGCTTCATAAATCGCTCGATTTATCGTTGCTGACTCACCGGGATCCATCGATGCATCGCTGCCCCTTGGGGCTAGGCCCTATAGGGAAGCTTGGACAATTTTCTTGAACCTTTGATGAGTTTTTTTTTCTTTCTTTATAATTATTTCAGTTCTGTTATAATTATTTTAGAGGGGATAATTTTTTTTACAATGATTTCTGTCTTGGAAGATCATGGCATTGTTAAAATCATGAAGAGGAATTTTCTATTTTTCTTTTTTTTTAATTTTACTTTTGGTTATTTATTTTTGTGCTTATATTTATTTTTGTACTGTCAATTAATTTTTTTTTAAGTATTTTTGTTATGAAAAAAATTATGGGAATTTTTTTATTTTATTTTCTCGTTTTTAATTATCGATTCATTATTCGTCAATTTTAATTTAGGTAACGTTTCGTGTTATAAAAGAAATCATGGATTTTTATTATTTTTTTGTATCTCATATTTGATAACTATTTTGTGTCTATTTTCAATTTAAGAAATATTTCATATTGTGAATATCATAAAAAAGAATAATTTATTATTTTTTTTTGTTTTTCGAACATTTGTTTTTCCATTTTATATTAAATATTTGTCTGTCATTGTATTTTGTCTGGTGAATTTCAAATTAAATGAAATTTTGTATGATATATAATTTTATGTTATACCACGATATATAATAGGATTGTTAAAATGATGAAATATTAGTTCATGTGAAAATAGAGATAAATTAATTTAAATAGAAGTATAACTAAATATTTTCTTTATTCGTTTCAAATTATAGATCATTTATTAAAAAAAATGTTTTATAAAAATATTCAAGAAATGAATATAAAGTTGTTGAAATGAACATATTTACGACATTTAAAGCAGGATGAATCCATTTGCAACGACAGAAAATTACAAAAATTTTCCATCTGATGAAATTTGATTAACATGTCGACAAAATAGGAGATATGAGAGAGTAACTACTAATTTGCCTTTGTAATTCTTCATGCAAGCTTTTAGAGTATGAAAAAAAAAAAAATTAATACATATTTAAGATTCTGTAATTTTTAAAATACAAAAGTGCAAAAATTTAATGTTGATTAAGTTTCTCTGTCAAATCTCCAATAGTTACACCGAATAAATAAATTCAATTGATATTACTATCTCTATGATATATGCACTTAAAATCGTGATGCATTTAAAATTATAAGTATGTACTCACGTTAAAGTCGGCCGTGCATTTTACCAAATCCGCTGGATGTCCGGGATAGAGCTTCAAGGATTGCAGTAGACCCTTTAAATAAACAATCAGGAAATAGTAGACGATTGCACGGTACACATGATTCGTCATTTTTCTTCTCGAGTCTCGTTTTGCTCCACGTTCTCTCCACTGTTCACGACGAAATGCGATGGTCACAGTACTCGAAAACTTCACTTTGCAATTTAAAATACCGTGCTTTCGAAACAAATGCGAAAATTCGAACAAGCCTTGAATTTTTCGACAAACATTATTTCAATCTATAAAAAGATTAATCATTGCTTATTCTTTATTCACTATATTCATAAAAAAAAATATTCGTGAATAAAAATTCGTGTATTCAGTTTCAGTTTCAGATATATACATACATTCATTAAAAAATCTTAAAATTATTCAAAGATCATAATAGAAATTGCAAATAATTAAACTTTATGATTTTTTATAAAAGTATTTTATTAAAAATTAAAAATATCCTAAGATTTTTAACCCAATGACAGTCTAATATGTAAAAATATTTGTACTAAAAACATCAAATATCAAAAAATCCCACAATTCGAATGAAAAATATCTAAACATTACATTTTAACATTTTCCTCTCTTATTGAATGAGAAACTACTACTAAATTAACATCGTGTATTCAATAATTGTATTCAATCTAAAAACGACCTTTTTAAAAAGTTAGTACCATTAAAAGTATTGAACAAAATTCCTTAAATTACATACAAAAAAAGTGAATAAGAAAATCACTCTTCAACAAAACCTTCCGTCACACGTCAAAAACATCAAAAAGACAAACAATTCATCCGCATCATCTCCACTACACATCCATCCAATACACCTTCGAGATGTCAACTTATCTCCACCTAAGAAACTATCTACTCTTCCTTGCCCCATTTTAATGCAAATCGATCTCCAAGCCATGCATCAACAGAAACACGATGGAATCCTGAGCGACAACGGAATCCACTTCCTCCTTCCGCGGATAATACGCTTATCAATCGCGCGAATTCAATTCGAGGAGGCTATTTATCAACGCTGCGGAACAGGTAATCGCGAGAAAATACACAATATTTTTACGATAACGAATTCGGTCGGTTGATATGGATCTAACCGTACGAATAAACTCCCGCGTGTTCATCGATTTATTTCGCGACAAATCTGGATTATGCATCGCGTGCGAGAGAAAGAAAGAGAGAGAGAGAGAGTTCTGCGATCGTGTTAACGTTTACATCAGGATGTAAGCTCTTCGACACGGATCTGCAAATATTTTTCCACCGATAAACTCTGCATGCCTTTCTCGCGTCGAGTATAAATTTTCGTGGCGTGAAACGAGCAAATTAACATCGATTTTGCACGATGGTTCGATGAATTTCAAAGGAATGATGGCCCCGATTCGCATCATGAAAAATAACACTTTTTCGAAACGAAAGGAAAAATATTTACGCTGCTCTCTTTAAAGTTAAAAAAAAATCTTGCGCGATATAGGTGTTTAATTAATGTTTTGTCCCGCTTGGTTAAAAGTTTCTATTCCCTATCTTTTCTTTTTTTTTTTACTTTTTCAAGATTTTAAATTTTATGCAAAGTTACAAAGAGTCGTTTGCACGGATCTGGAATCAAGTTTAATTTGTTTCTCTTAACAAGAATATTTAAAAAAAAAAAAAAAGAAAAGTGATGAAAGTTGCAGTTTTTATGTATTTTGAAACTCTAGATAAAACATTTTACCAAGAAAGATAGAATTTCTGTGAATAAATTATTTCTATATTATTTATTCAAATTATTCAAATTATTTATATATAATAATATTTTCATAATGCTATGCCAATAACTTTGCTCATGACAAGATATTAATATATTTGTGATCATAGTTGATTGATTAAAATAAAAAGTGATGTCTAATGATAGAAAAATATTATTTGAAACTTATTTATTATATATGTATAAAATAAGTTTTGTTAAATGAAGCAAGAGATAGAATAGAATAAAGTTTTATCTTCGTCGTATCATCAATTTATTCTATTTGCAAATTTCAATTGCTCATAAATAAGTTTCAATTAATATTTTTATATATTTTTATATATTTTGTTCAACTTGAGAGAGTTGATTCTCCAAAAGTGTTTTACGAATATAAAAAAAAATATAAAGAAAAATAAAATGGTACAAAGAAAAGAATAAAACCTAATTTATTAGGAATAATTAATGTAAAAAGGGCAGCACGATTCAGCATTTCCACGACAATCTTTTTCGGATTGTAATTAATCGCCAACCCGGTGGTTTGACTAATAATTTGTCTGGAAAAAATTTCACGACTAACTTTTATGAGTTCTGAACGATTCGGTCTGTCTTTTCTTTCTTTCTGTTCTGGTTTGAAACTTTGATTGAAAGTTTCCCATCTACGAGGACAGTTTTTCTTTCACGATGTGAAAACGATCGAATAAATTCAAAAGTGACTTATCCTATCGCGTTTTTCTTTGAATTATCAGCTTTACCGATTTTTTGTTAATTCTTTTTTTTCCAAGAATAATTTACACTTAAAATACATTGATGATTGTAAAACATCTAAAAAAATAATCTTTTACAATCATCTTTTACAATTTGATATTTATTATTGTACAAAGAATGAAAAGTTAAATAATTCTAATTTTTTTACACGAAAAGATTAAGCAATAAATTAGCAATAATAGCAATAATTTCATATGATATTTCGTACAAAAAAAATTATATTTAAATCTCTTCCTATACTTCCCAATACTTTTTAACTATTACTACACCTTTTATTATTTCAGAAAAACATCAATTCAATTTTTCCAAAAATCAATAAAAAACGGAAGATCCTTCAAAATGTGTCATTTAAATAAAACACAAACAAAAAAGTGGAAAAACCAGAAAGTTATAACACTTATACAAATAACACCTATCACTGTTTCCAAATCGATCACGAGCCACCCCAAACTACCACCAATCCCTCCTCCCCATCTCATCCATCCGAATAAAACCCGAACAAACAAACAAACAAACCACTAAGTCTCCTCCAGCAAAAATTCAAGCACCAATCAAAATTTCCATCCTCCTTTTTAAACCACCCTCGAGTCCCCTCCCTTTTCTCCTCCATAATCACTATCGCGCGTAACAAATCTCCACGAGTCGCGGAATTATCGCGGATAGAACGTTGAGGAGGGGATGCAAAAAAACAGGAGCCGCGATTTATCCACGGTTGACAAACGAACACAGGACGGTTCGTTTGTCCGCGTGAAAAAAAAAAAAGGAAGCAAGCATCGATCATTGGGCAAGTGTTCGGCGGGGAGATCGATCGATCTTCCTAAATGGGGCACGCATCCCCCGTTTCTACGCTCTTCGCTCGTGAGCGCAAAGAGGTTTTTTTTCAGGTTGCTGCAGATTTTTTCCATCCCCCAACTCCCCTTCTGCGGATTTGCAATCCGATGGAAAAAGTCGTTCTCGCGCCGATTAAACCAAGACAAGGAGGGATGTTAATCGTGGATTAAGACACGATCGAGGGATTTTTCTTTTTTTTTTTAGGAAATTTAACACGGAACAGAGGAAAAACTTGGTAATTTTTAAAGTACCAAAATCCCTTTGGGAACTGTTAAACCCGTTTGAATGGGAATTAATTCCCCTCGAGATGAATTTTTATTGAGATTCCACGGTTGGAAGGTTTGGGCGTTGGTGAAGATGAGGAACTTTTTTTTCTTTTTTTGTTTCTTCCAATTTTGTATTGTTTCTTTTGTATTTTTTTTGTGGAAGAGATTATGAGATGGGTTCGTGACAGTCGTGAAACGTTAGATGATGGGTATTGGGAAGGAAATTAATTCTTCTTGATGGTTTTTTTTGTTTCTGATTTCTTTTTTCTGATAATGACGAAATGAAGGTGTTGCGAAAAGAAATTTGAGTTTAAGAAGAGGGTATGGAGAAGGGATGATTATAGTATTTGGAGGGAACGGTATGGTCGGTTTAAATGCCGGTAAATTGCGATGAAAGGAGATATTTGTGGAAATATCTGTGTATTAAGCGCGAATTTTAGAATTCATACGTGAACAGAGTGGTTTAATAATATTAATCCTCTTGAGTATCTCTATTATTTTTGAACTTACGAAAAAACTTAATTTATAATTGTTATATTCAAAGAGCAGAAATCTGAAATAATAATAACAATTTTCATTAAATTCTCTTTTAAATGAATAAAAAATATTTTATAATTATAATTTTTACCAATCAAAATTTCTTCAAATATTTCTAAAGATAATGAAAATGAAAATCCATCCAAAATCAAGCCTGTACAATTAATAATTATTAGTCGATAATCATATTTATTTATAACAAGCATTATCATTGAACGTACGAGAGATCAATTGATGAAATTGTTGTACTGCAACCATTTGATTTCGATTACGGCATTGATCGTGCATAGGATAGCCACAATTCAGCCAGCTCCTTGTTCTCGTATTGACTAATCGATACAACTATGTTGGAGTTGATTGTCGATCAAGATATGTTATTATGCCCAGCCTGCAACCGCAACTAAACGATCCTCGCATAATTTTATCGAATGACCTATAAGTACACTTCCGTTATTGAGAATTTTTGTGTTCCACTATACAAGATTAACCCATTACCTTGTTTTCCCCTCCCATTAAATTTATTTATCGATTATCATTTTCTTTAAATGGATTTACCTTTTCAATAATTTTATTCTAATTTATTTATCATTGATTAATATGAAAAAGAAAATCAACATTAAGATATTTTTAATCGTCTTCATTTTAATGAAACAATGCTCAAATTTGTTTCAATATTAATGTTTTTTGTTTTAATGTATAAAATATATGTTATTAGAGTTGATAAAATTTCCTGTTCAAAAGCAATTAATTGTAATAGAATACATTCGAAATTCCGTTGAGAATGTGACGTGATTATAGAAGAATTATCATATTCGTATTAATCCGTTAAAAACGAATGCTTGAAACCTTTAAAATAAACCATTTATTTTAGAAAATTATTCACAAAATCATATTACGATAAA